AGGAGGATGTGGCCCTAGGCCCAGAGCTCGGTGGAGGGCTCGACAGCCTCTCACAGGGGCGGCTGGGAGGTGCTCCGGATGCCTGCCCTGGCCTCACCTCACTGGTGGGTGCCACCATGGGCTCCCACCATCCCCACACCTGACCCCGGGCTGGCCTGTGGCTTTTTGGGCTCAAGGCTGGGCAAATCACAAGTGATTGGAGAAAGCAGAGGGGCTGTGGGGAGCAGGACAGAGCGGGGGACAGTCAGCACAGCAAGGCGGAGGGTTTCTGAGATACCTGTTCCCACTGCGATAGGAAGAAAGGGACACTCACATTCAACCTTTTTCTCCAGCATTGCCAAGTGATTAGCTACTTCTGTTTTCAGTTCATTGATTTTAAAAACCCTGAAAAGAAAACCCTCATGTATTAATGTTATACATTCAGTGCCTCACCCACCCTACGTACAAAGGACTTTTGCTAGAAGTAGCTATATTTTGATCTGTCCGATTGTGGTTGCTGTGAGGAAAAGACATTTTTCCATGTAAATGCTAAAATTTGGGCAGAAAATACACCCAGGTTTAATTTTCAGAAAAATTAACAACAAATGATTTTGTTATGGCCCTGGGAATGTACTGTGGCTCTGCAACACTTCATTACCCCCACCCTCGGCAGTGACTTGTTATTGTACCCCCCCAGGGAAGCAAAGTTAAATTGATAGTGCTTTGCCTAAGAGCAGCATCTTGGTGTCTGCACACTCTAAAGCCCTCCTCCTTTTGAGTTATGCTGATGATTTGCTGAGCTGTGATGGGATTGATCTGTCTTACTGAAACCAGCTGGAAAAAACTAAGCAGCTGTACAGATGTTGAGAAATCCTCTTGGAGGAGAGACATGTTTGGGTAATAAAGGGGAAAGTGAAACAAATCAGATGATTTGAATGTTCAACTAAGAAGCATTTATTTTGCTTCCTAAGAGGGCAGGAGCACAATAAGAACATTTATATTTACCACTCGATCTCCTTTTTAGATCAAAGTTAATCACCAAAATTGCTTTTGGTTTAAGCTACTGTATTGTTGTCAGCAGTAAATAACATGTGTACCAGGCCTAAATTTGGCAGGAGGAGTGGGATTTGAAAGAGATCTTAAACGCCCCTCTGCCTCCTGTGAAAATTTTACTTCAGGCTGATAAAAGAAATCACATTTTAAATTAATAATGATGTTCAGCTTCTTACCTCGAGAACTGCTCGGCAATCTGTCCCAGTAAATTCTGGAACAATTCTTCTTTCTCTGAAAGAAACAGAAGGGAGACATAACAGAAAATGACAGAGGAAAGAAGACATCCTCAACCCCCCTGCAAAGTGGCATCCCCAAACTTCCAGCCCTGACGGTGAGGCATTTAGCCAAAAAGTCATTCTGGTCCTTTGAACAATGACAGCGTTTGAGAACGACTCCTTGTCTCACCTGCTTTCCTCTGCCTGCAGATTACAGTCAAGGTTTCTCAGAAGTGTTTTTTGGGAGTGCTGGGTCTCCGAGAGGTGGCTTGTTTTAAGGCAGCACTCTCTGGAAAGGAGACCCTTTTGCGTTTCTTGGGTGGGACACTCAGAATCATGGTCTGTTTTTTAAAGGTCTGGCTGACAAGGACTGCCTCTACACCATCAGCACACTGTGCCAGAGTGCCCATGAACAATGTAACAGCTTATGAACACAAGAAAACCCAGCTTGCCTTTCAGATTTACACTGGGACATTATTCTGGAGACCAATTTTTTTGTGCAAATTCATAAGGATTATACTGCTATGCATACACTTCAGGGAAACATGAGATGCCAAAGTGACTGTCCTTGAAGAATGAGGTCCGGCCTTCCTGGTTTGTGGGATGGACACAGCCAGACACAAGTTTCCCAGCCCCTTTTCCCCTGAGAACATAAGCTGCGGGAATTCCATTGTTGCCTGAGCTGCTGTCTGCACTGGGAGCAGTCATGCCAGTAGCTTCCTGTCTCCCACTGCCACCTCCAGCACTCAGGTGCTTCAGCCGACTCAGGAAAGTCAGTCTGGTAAAGCCCCAGCCCCGTCCCGGGATGCCCCTTCCCATCACAGGATTGCAATCACTAACTAATGCGGGGAAAAGCAAATAAGTCCTTAAAACAAGACCCTAGATTTTGAGGGACAGTACACTTTAGGAAGGAAGGAAGGAAGAAGGACGATAGCAATGTTTCCCTGTCTTTCAGTCTGTATTCACACAGACAGAGAAGCATGAATCACCTTTGCTGAGCTGTGAACTGCTGTTTCAAGATTGCTCCCACTTTTCCCCACCAGCTAATTTAAACTGCACTGTGCTGCAGTTGTCCTCATGCTTGCGCTGTGGATGTACTCTTGGCTTCTCAGGCTCAAGGAGCAGAAACATTACATGCTCTTACATACAAACTGCAGATTACAGAACTCCCATTTATACCCCATGTGGAAATACCCCGAAGGGAATTGTCTTGCACTTGCTCAAGGGAGCATGGTGCCTTGTGAGTGTAATCATCCAGGCAAAGCACGTAAGACAGAAATACAGCCCGGCATTTACAAAGTATTTCTAAATAATAGCTCTTGTACCTGTTGAAAGGATTTGCAATTCCTCAGGTATTAGACATGTCAGAAATACTTATCAAGAGCATTCACTTCTCTGGTCAAAACAATTTGGCTGTTACCCCCATGTCTCTAAACTGGAGCAAGCACTCTGCTCTGAAAATCTCAGATCTAATTCTCTCTCTCTTCCCCCCCCACCCCCTGCAATTCTACTCCCAGCGGAGTGGCTAGCAGAGCCAATGAAGAAATTAGTTCTTTTCACAGAGACACATTTTTCAGTTTTCTCACAAAAAAACATTTCAAACCCAAGTGCTGAAACAAAGCAAACCCTGCGTCCTATTTAAGACAGGAGGAAAGCTTACCGTATGCAGCACCTGGGATGGTACCCGAGTCCAACAGTGAGAATAAGCAGAGAAACCCGTGTCCTCTCACTTCAGTGCTGCTCAGCTCTCTGACAGTGGCTGTAGCATGCCAGAGCCTGACAAGTTCCCTATAAACACCGTTCCAGTAAAAAAAAAAACCAACAAAAACCAACCAGTCTTACTTTCACTCCCTCCCCCTGTCAAAACTCACTTGGAGTATTAGGACATTCTCATCCAGGGAACAGTCAGCTGCAATCTGATGTTTATGGATGTAATAAAAGACTTTCAAAACGAAGATGTATGTTTTTATAACCCTAGGGTGCAGTAAAGATATATGACTAAGAGTGGCAGTTCGTCTCATCTTAAAGAGACAAAGATCCATTTCTTTGCCCTGTTCCTTTCCGAGGGGAAGACCTCTGCTAACCCCTGATTCTGAAGAAAATGAGACATCACACCAACATAATTTAATCTTGCTTGCGCACTCCATAAAACAGGAAGGCTGGGTGTCCTTTTACTCCCTTCATTACCTTCTGTTGTCTTTTTTTTATACCTCTGGGCAGGTGCACGCAGCTACCTTTTTATTCAGTTGCTTAATTTGTTTTGCTGCAATACCCTCTGGGAAAAGGAAATCCTACTGTATGTAGCATGGGCAGATGCAATCCGTGCACCTTGCCAAGGGTCGCCAGCTCCTGCCCGCAGTAACCCAAAAGCCAACAGCAACCCTCTTCTCAGCTCACCCCCGACTGGCACCGTGAATGCGCGATGTTTGCAAGTGCGGGTGTTCGGCAAGTCAGGTTTTTGCATAATACGCAGGATGTTTTAGAGCTGACAAATGAAAACTGGAAAAACCCCCTCCAGAAGGTGCGGCAATAGCGTAATGCCAGGCAGGGGACAGGCCAGCTCAGGCCTCCCCAGGCTTCCCATGGCTCATTCCCACACTCTCTGTGGGCACAGGGACTCGGGCTCCTCACCTGCTGGACCCTGCTGAGCTCAGCGGGGAGCTTGGCCAGGGCGCTACAGGGCAAGGAGCCATTTTTCCCTCCTCCCCAGCGGCCCCGTGTCAGGAAAGTCTGGGCAGAAAGCGGGTGCAGGGGAATATGGCAGCAGCACTTTCTCCCGCGGCTCCCAGAGCATCCGGATGGGAGAGCTGGCAGCGAGTGCGCACCTTCCCTGCCAGACGGGGACTAGGTACAGGCTGGGGCAGCTCAGGTTACGCGTACACTGACACAGATGGTTTATAACCCGCTGGCATGCACTCTGCTTCACAACGCCCTGCTTGGCACTGACTCTTCCTCTCCTGTCTTACACGCTGCGATCACGGCCAGGAAAAAAAACCCTCCCCGGCTCCCCTTGCCATCCTGCCAGCCTCAGTGAGGTGCAGGCGGGGCGTGCATGGGGCTGCGGGGGTGGGTTGGTTTCCCCCTGTCTTTCCCTGCCAGTCCCTTTCTCACGTGTGACTGTACCTCTGGCTTGAGCTCCTATGTGTATGGATCTGGCCAGTCAGAGGAATTTAAAAAACACACAGCCAGGGGGACAAAAGCCTGAGGAAGGGGTGTGCTTTGAGCCCAAGCCCACGTCTATGAATCGTGTCATACTGAGCACCAAATTCACTTGATAGCTCAGGTTAATTTGGGCTTACCACATGCAAGTCCCTGCTCATGTGAGTAATCTTCAAGTAGTTGAGCAGCTGCCCTCATCCCACTGCACGCATCCGTGTGGGATGCGTGTAAGGAGCAGCAGGCAGGAGAGGTTTTTTTTCTCTCACAGTCTCTGCCTTTTCCCTCTTGCCTGAGGTGTGAGTGTGACTATGCCTCCAAAAGGAGAAGAGAGAGATCCCTGAATAAGAAGATTTAGACACGGTGACAAGCTTCTGTCATTTTACCAATAGCAATCTGCACAAGATCTTGGGAATTTAATCATTCAAGGGAAAAA